GGGTGTCTCTTCCCTTTCTGACTTTAACCTCTACATATTATTCTACTCTCATCAATGTAACCATAGGTAACAGGTTGTTGACCTTTGTGAGTTCTGGCACTGACCTGAGGGCAGTCCTGAGGACCGCCAAACAATCCCCATGACATCATAGAGATAACTTGAGACAATCCATGCTAGTCGTTTAAGAGTAGCTGGCTGGCATATAAGAAAGGCTTAATACCAGTTGTTTGTCAAACTGTTGAGCAATACTTTGTCAATTTCTTGTTCTTGTTATATAATACTCCCAGAACTTATAGATCATTCTTTTTTAAAAATTTTATGTGAATGAGTGTATTGCCTGCACATATGTAAGTGTACCTGTGTCGTGAAATGCACATGGAGGACAGAAGAGGGCGTTGGATTGCCTGGAACTGGAGTTACAAATGGTTGTTAGCAGCCATGTGGGTGCTGGGATTGGAACTCAGGTCTTCTGCAAGAACAGTCAGTGCTCTTAACTGGTGAACCATCTTTCCAACCTGATTTTCTTTTTTTAAAAAAACATTTATTTATTGAGTTAAGTTTCTGTGTATGTGTGTGTGCCTGAGTGTATGTATGTGTATCATATGTATGTAGGCAGCTGTGAGCTGCCCCATGTGGGCACTGGGAATTGAATCCAGGTCCTTTTGCTATTGGAAGAGTATCAAGTGCTCTTAACCATTTCACCATCTCTCAAGCCCCTTAAAGACCCTTTTCCTTTTCCTTTTTTTTTGGTCTTTTTGAGACAGGGTCTCCCTGTAGCCCCAGCTGGCCTGGAACTCACTATGTAGACCAGGCTGGCCTTGAACTCACAGAGACCCATCTGCCTCTTGAGTGCTGGGATTAAAGGCATGTGCCACCATACCTGGCTCTTTTCCTTTTTTTAAAAATAGGTTTTATTCTTATTTTATAATATTTTTATTGTGTGTGTATTGACTGCATGTATATAAGTACAGCCATGTCATGTAATGCCCACGGAGGACAGAAGAGGGCACTGGATCCCCTGGAACTGGAGTTACAGACAGTTGTTGGCTGCCATGTAGGTGCTGGGATTCGAACCTGGGTCTTCTGCAAGAACAGCCAGTGTTCTTAAACCACTGAGCCATCTCTCCAGCCCCAGTTTTATTTTTATTTTATGTGTCTGAGTGTTTGTCTGCATGTATCTAAGTGCACAATGTGTACACAATACCTGTAGAGGCCAGAAGAGGGTGTCAGAGTCCCTGGAACTCCATGGAGTTAAAGATGGGTGTTAACTACCATGTGGGTGCTGGGACCTGAACTTGGGTCCTCTGGAATTAAGTGTTCTTTACAGTGCATCTCTCCAGCCCTTAAAGACCATTTTCAAATGAGGTTCATACTCCTTATTCACTAAACAATTATTAACCTTTAAACAAAAGATTAAAGCTTTAAACAAAATGGACAAAAATTCTTGTTTTCAGGAGGTTTCACCCTAGCAGGAGGAAACAAACTAAACAAATGTATTTAGGCTGGGCATATATAATCTGATAATCTGAAGTCCGAAATGTTCTGAAACTTGAAACTTTGTGAGTGCCAACATGATGTTCCAGTACTTTGGAAGCATTTCAGAGCTTGGATATTTGAATTAGGTATGCTCAGTTGGTATAGCCTACACAAACATTCCAAGGCTGTGTGTGATAGTACATGCCTGTAATTCCAGCAATCCAGAGCCTAAGGCAAGTATATTGTCAAGTCTGACGTGAACCTAAGCTACATAGCAAGACACTGTCTCAAAACAAAAACTTATTTTCCCCAAACATTAAAATATGCTAAAATCTCTGAAATCTGACTTTTGGACTCAAGTGTTTCAAATTAAGGATATTTCACCTGTAGTATGCTAGCTCATGATAACTGCAAGAAGGTGGGACATGAAACATGACAGGAGAACACTGCAATTTAGGGTGGATGGCCAGGGAAGGTCTCCTGAGAACATCAAGTACAAACAAAGACCTGAGGGGGAAGAGGAACATTGGCAATCCTATTGTCTAGGGGAATAGTGATCCAGGCAGATAAAATGCCAAGGGCAAAATGCCTTGGAGTAGGAGAAAGCCTGGCATGTTTCAAGAACAAGGAGGTTAGAATGGTCAGAGATAAATACAAACTGAGTAGCAGAAGAGATCAGAGAAGTAACAAGGCGGGAAGGGTTTCAGGAAGACGCAGAGTCTTGTAGGCTACAGAAAGGACTTTAGGTTTGGCTATGGATATTAGAAGCTTCTGGAGAGTTGGAGGTAGAAGAATGACACAATAAAAATTCCATTGTAGTCAAGAATCAATGCCAGACAGGAGATACCTTTCTTTTGAGTTGTTGGCCAGGGTGGCCCAAGAGACTCCCAGACAGTAACCTAGCATAGAACTAGGAAAATGAACAGTAGACTCCAACTTTATCTAAAGGAATACTAGCAACAGCTTGCTGCTAGATGAGGAACAGCTGATCTTCCTAAAACAAGGAACTCTAGATAGGCTGACTAGACTCAGTGGATGGATAAGCACCGGGAAACAGCTGGGGGCACTGACAACACAGTGGACAGTAACAGGGATGCCAGAGTATATGGGATCCAGTGTGTGTGGGAGTGTCATTTGGGATGTGGGTATACAGATGAATAAGATTGTTTGAGATGTTCTGTATGAAATACACACACACACAAATCAATTAAAAATGAGTTATATTTGAGGAAGAAACATAAAAAATTTGCTTTATATTAATTAGTAGATATGAAAAACATTACCATTGAAATATACCTGATGACTTTATATCCATGCTCAGGTGCCAAGGATCTCAGAAAGTAACTGACTGTGACTAGTAATAATCAGATATATAGAGATTAGAGACGTGTGCAAACATCTAAGTGTTACTTGCATTAAAAATGAGTTTTACTGTATGAAACAGTATATTTTAAATGAAATGGAGATCTTTTTTAAAGGTTAAAACCTCATTCAATTTTATGTCTTACAGGGTTTATTCTGAGTACAATATTGTATAACTGTATTAATTCAATGGTAAACCTAAAATTTTATAGCCAATTTTGAAAGAGATGCATCTTAGCTCTGGAAATTGTTATTGAATATGTCAATGCTATTGTAATGAAATGCTTCTTCTAATTATGTGGTTATTAAATAAATAATTTAAAAAGTTCTGTGGTACTGAGAATAAATGACAAGAGAGCAAGACGTGAGGCAGAAGATCTTCAGGAAACTACTGCAATAACTTGGACAGCAAGTGATACTGGTCTGGACTTGTGTAGTGTTGATGGGGTATAAAAAGTAGAAAGTTTCTAGATATCACATGAAGGTAAAACCAGCAGCATCTCCTTATAGTCTGGATATGGATGAGGTAAAAAAGAAAGCCAAGATTTTGAGACTTGTAATTGAAAAGGATGGGGCTGTCATTAACAGAGAAGGAGGTTATAGTGGAGGTTGATTTGTGGTAGGGGAGGGGATGTATAGCTGAGAGTTTTTAAAGAGTTAAGTTTTAAATGCCTAACTGAACAGCCAAGAGGGAAAGCAAGTAGGTGAAGAGAAATAAAGATCTGTTTTTCAGAGGGGTCTGGGCTAATGATACAAATTTGAACAACTTAGCACATATTATTTATGCAACGAATTTGAATGAGACAATGCTAGGGAGCAAATCTAGTAGAAAAAAACAGACCCATGGTTTGGGCTCTGGGTCACTCCAATGTGTACAGGTCAAGGAGACTGGGAGAAACTACCAAACTGGGAGGTGGCAGACAAAAGCAGAGAATGAACATGGCAAGTATGCTTACTCTGGAAAGCAAGTGAAAAAAGTTTCAAAGAAAGAGCTGTCAAATGCTGGTGGGAGGTGAAGATGAAGACTGAGATCTATCAATACAATCAGCAATGAGGGTGTCATTGGAGTGGTTAAGATGAGTAGTTCTGGTGGAGGGTGAAGACCTTTTCAATATGGAAGATAGAAACTGGAGATAATGGTATAGACAAACATTCTTGGAGGCCAGATGACAGCTCAAAAGGGCCAGGAGGTTTTGTTCCATGTACAGATGAGAGAAAGGTATATTTATATGTTAATGAGAATGATTCAGTAGTGAAGAGAGAGTTCTAGAACAGAATCTTAAGATGGTAAAGAGATGGAATCTAGCAGAGGTGGAGGGAATTATACCTGGCTACTTCATCCACTGTACCAGGAGAGAAGCTGGAGTGCTGGGAGCATGCAGGGAGGTAGTCTAATATATTGGTGGGAACTTAGGATGATTTTTTCCATTTACTTCAGTTTCTTGGTGAAGTGGGAAAAAAATTGTTAGCTGTGCAGAGTAATGACAAGCAATTCAAGGTTTAAGGGTAAAGAAGTATGAAAGAGTTGCTTAGGAATCAATTACACTATGAAAAGGTTCAGACAATTATACATGTTATCTATTTTTTTTTTGGAGTGCTGCGGATAGAACTCAGGGCCTTGCAAATTCTAGTCTAACACTTTGCCCCCTGAGCTTCATCCCCAGTCCAGAAAATTTAACAAAGAACTTGATCACAAGGGGTTTCCCCATATTGTGTATCAGCAGTATGTTCCAACAAGTTAGGCTTAGCTGCAATTCCTGTCTTCTACATCTGTGGATGTATAACTGATACATTCATGGCCAAAGGTACTATGATATTAAAAAATTTCAAGGAACATCAGATAACATCCAATACTTCATGTTTAATGAGGCTAGGAAATGTGACATTTTATTTAGAAAGTCTTACATCAGTTTGTGATGAACTTCAGGATGATGAAAAGCTACATATGTATGCAGTACATTCTATTTTTCTCAGACAAGGAATTCTGTTTATACTGTGATTACATAAGCCATCAATAGGTCTGTCATCTCACCAGAGTGATGCGGTTCTTTCATTCAATGAAAAGTAGTTATGTTTGTCGCCTCACAGTACTGTTAAGATTAATTTCTGCATTGTTACTATCTAAGATCACAAATAAGAAAATACACAAGATTCTTCAGTACCTTTTCATCCAAGTCTGAATTTTGCTCACTGAGGTCTCCTAGATTTTCATTTTCAACAATCTCCTTGGTCTCTTCTAAGGAAATGACTGCACCTTTGGAATCACACTTTATCTTTTTTGCTGGAGAAAAACAATATTCAACTATAGAAGCTTTAAACAAAATAAACAAAGATGCTCTATAGAACTTAGGATTCAGAAGTTCTCAAGGCCTCCTGTGACAAATGAAGTAGAGCTTTAGCAAATTATGTAGTTCCTAACTTGTTACCTAAAGAACTGTACCACATGGTATAAAAATGACTGAGAGTAAGATATTTGAAAACCTTTCTCATGTTCCAGCTATTTAAAATATTTTTGCTAGGTTTGGTGGCAAATTTAATCCCAGAACTCAGGAGGTAGAGGCAGGTGATCTCTGTGAATTCAAGGCTAACCTGGTCTTTAAGGCTAACCTGGTCTACATAGTGAAGTTCCAGGTCAGCTGGGGCTACATAGTAAGGTCCTGTCTTAAAAATTTTTTTTAAGGAACTGACTGCCATAGATTTATTTTTTTTTTGTGTGTGTGTACATGTGTACACGTGCGCACACATACCACAGTGTACCTGTGGAGGTCAGGGGAAAACTTGCAGGATTTGTTTCTCTCCTTCTACCTAAAGTGGATTCTGTGGATTGAACTCAGATGAGGCTGGGCAGCAACTACTTTTACCTACTGAGCTATCTCACTGGCCCTAATTTTTTTTTTTTTAAGTATGAGGAAGGGTCTTCTCACTGTGTAGTCCTGGCTATCCTGCAACTCACTATTGAACTCACAGAATTCCACCTGCCTTTGCCTCTTAAGTGCTGGGATTAAAGGCCTAAGCCACCACACCCAGCAACACTAAAAAAATTTTTTTGGTCTTTTTGAGACAGGGTCTCCCTGTAGCCCCAGCTGTCCTAAAACTCACTGTGTAGACCAGGCTGGCCTTGAACTCAGAGATCCGCCTGCCTCTACCTCCTGAGTGCTGGGATTAAAGGTGTATGCCACCATGCCCAGCTAAAAATGTTTTTATAACCCAAGTCAAAGTTAAAAATTACCTTTTACATTGTTATAGTTCATGTACTTAAAATTATGATTATCTATCAATTGTGATTTTTCAAGGACAGATTTAAGATAACGTTAATATATATTTCAATTTCAAAATAAGACTGAAAGATTACAAAGGTCAACTACCTTTTGTAAAGAACACACAACAAAGTTATACATTAATTAAAACAGTAAATATCTCAAAATTTGATCTTCTAATTAGTCAGCTAAAACTGAGGAAAACTGACAAACTCTGACACACAGTTAGCAGATGCTAAATGAAAACCTTCCCACTTGAATGAATTCTGACTAGGCCTGAACAGAGACATGCAGATATTTCAGTATTTCTTGTTTTTAAAGTACCAAATTTTACCTGCTGACAAGGAAGCACAGATCTCCAACTTCAGTAATCCAGGGTCCAGCACAGCAAGTTCTTTACTATAAAGCAAACAGAGTTCAAACATGTACCATTGCACATTCAACAGAATGATTTGGTTCTAAAAGCACTATACAACACTAGCTTCGACAGTTGGTGAACATCCTCAGGTCCTCAGGACAGAGATTCCAATACACGGGCTCAGAACCCAGCACATTTGCCCAGATTCTCTCTTGGCTCTTTAATCAGAGTATGCTGCCCTTCTTAGGGAGTGTTACCACCCCAACTTTGTTACTCAGGAAGAACCTGACGAGATGTACATTTAAACATTTTAAAAGAATTATACCAATGCAAGAGAGTGTTTACCTTCTATTTTGAAGCATATGTGTATATATCTTGTCCCCAATCTAAAAAGAGTTTGAGTGCAGTTTAGGGTATTTTGCTTGTTATTGTTCCTAAGTGCAGTTTGTAATCTAAAAGTTAAGGCTACAGAAACCAGAGTTTAGCTTAATCCAGGTTTCCAAACTGTTCTGACACTTACTGTTAACTGTGGGAAAAACACTAAATTTATTTGAGTCTAATCATATCTATAAATGAGAATAACACTTATCTGTAAGGATATTGTGAGGATTAAAGGATATATACTTAAATCCAAAGCTCAAGAAATGAAAGCCACATATGGGAGACACGCAAACACAAATGGATAACCATTATTCCATTTTTAAAAACTCAGGCAAGGGGGCTGGAGAGATGGCTTGGCAGTTAAGAGCACTGGCTACTCTTGCGAAGGACCAGATTTCAGTTCCCAGCACCCACATAGCAGCTAACCACTGTCTCTAACTCCAGTTCCAGGGAATCCATGCCCTCTTCTGACCTTCCTGGGCATTGCATGCACACATGGGTGCACTTATGTACATACAGGAAAAATATTTATACACATAAATAAGCTAAAAATAAATGTTTAAAAATAAAAAACCCTCAGATTAAAACTTAATACATGAAAGCACAAAGAAAAGATGAACACCCATTTTTTTCTCCAGTACCATAGTTGTCAAAGAAGGACTACAGAGACCCAGCAAGAGCCTTAAAAAGGCAATACCAAGCAACCCAGTCTCTGTCTTCAGGTGGCTGAGAGCCAGTAAAGTGCTCTAAAAAAAGTCACTGGTAGATCAAGTTCTACTTCAGAATATATTACATGAGTTGGGGACTATTAATCAGGATCTTACTATAATAATCTACAAGAAAGGCAGTTAAGTAGTAAAAGTGGGAATGGGGATGAATAATTTCCATTAATAGAGATGTTTAGGTGACAGAATGATGGAGATTATGTGACTCAATAAGTGATGTTTCTGTACTTTCTAGTCATCCCAAAAGTTCCATTTATAAATAGGTATAGCAGCTACTGCTTCAACTTCAAAGTGTTAATCCAGTATTTATAATACTGCTAGTATAATTTATACAGATATAAGAAACTTTTCATTGTGAATAGCTAACTTGAAAGGAAAATAAAATTGAACATGGCATTCCTATAAGCAGGCTAGTTTTGCGTTCAAGACACACAAGAGGTTAAATTCACCTAAGTTAAAAAAAAAAAAAGTAAAGTTGGGGCTGGAAATACAGCTCTGTGGTAGAGTCCTTGCCTAACATGTGTAAAGCCCCAAGTTCAACTCCCAGCACCACACACACACACACACACACACACACTAAAGTGATCAAAATATATTATGATTTTATATTGGTGGTGTGAAAGTTTAGTTCTGTACTGGTGGAATAGGGAAGGAAATTATAAAGGATACAAGGAGAAAAGAGTAATAGATTGAAACCAATTCTGAAGAACTATACAGAGAAATTTATCCTCTACCACAGCATTATTCAAGTTACATAATACTCAACCAGAATTTAAAAAAGAGTGCATTATATACGTATATTTAACAATAATAATCAAAGAAGAGGACAGGAAATTGTGAGGGAGTAAGGGGACAGGGGAGGAGGTGGAAGGGGACTGGGAGGTATAGAAATAATGCAAATATAATACTCATGTATGAAATTCTCAAAAAAAATTTTTAAAAATACAAAATATGAGAGTGTATCACTCATAGTAAAGAAAATATAAACCCAGTGCACTGGATTGTAATCTAAAACACATTATTACAGGACATAATTGACAAAAAACATTTGAAGATGACTGTTTTAGAGTAATTACTAGCAAAAAAGGTTCCACGATCTCTTCTGGCCTCCAAGGGCACCTGAACACATGTAGCAGAAACAGCCAGAAAGACACACAAAACTTTAAAAAACTGAAGACATTATTGCTTGAGAGACTAGTTGATTGCGGTCATGGTCATCCATTATGCATTCATATTCTATTTCTGGATAGGACTGCCACAAATATTCTGTAACAATTATCCTACAGAAAGCAGTGAGCGTAAGCAGAGGAATATCACAATATTCAAGTCATTGGGCTAGAGTTTCCCTGGGCTGATGCCCTGCTGTTAAGTACTAGGTTTTCTGATACAGTAAACCATTGCTTGATCAAGCACAATACTATTGTAGCAAATGCAGGAAATAATGGTTTGCGTGGCCTGAAAACAGTAAAAAATCACAATGATACTTCTTCATGCTATCCTACCTACTACTTTCAAGAGAAGAAATGAGAGGAAAAAGGATTGTAAGTAAAATAATATTCTATAGTAATTTACAGAGTAATGGAATGAAAGCTACAGAAGGAACCAGAATGATGTTCTCCCAGAATACTGTTTTGGAGGGCGGCCTGGAGCAGATGACTACAGAGTTCAGGTCTTAGTTCTGGCACTTAGATGCTGGTGTCCTTTGGAAAGTTAGCCACCGTGGTTCAATTATTCAAATAGGATGAGGGGCTGGAAAGATAGCTCAGTGGTTAAGAGCACTGGCTGCTCTTGCCAAGGACCTAGTTCAGTGCCCAACATCCACATAGCAGCTAACAATCATCGATAACTCCAGTTTCAGGGGATATAACACCCTGGTAATGCACATATGGGTTTACTTATATGCAGGCAAAACACTCATACACATTAAAAAAAAAGTCAGGGGGCTGGAGAGATAGTTCAGTAGTTAAGAGCATTGGCTGCTTGCAGAGGACCTAGGATTGGTTCCCAGCATGAACATGGTGGCTAACAACCACCTGTAATTCCAGTTCCAGGTGGATCCAATGCCCTCTTCTGGCCTCTACAGGTATTGCAAACACAGATGTATTTACAGACAAAACACTCATACACATAAAATAAAAAATTAATTAAAAATATCAAAAATAAAAAAAAAACACTAAAGTAGCATGGTAGCACATGCCTTTAATTCCAGCACTCAGGAGGCAGAGGCAGGCCACCATGTCCAGACAAGTAAAGACTTAACTACTAGTTTTAGAATTAAGTTACCAAGTGTGGTAGTGCACACCTTTAATCCTAGCACTGAGGAGGCAGAGGCAGGCAAATCTTTGTGAGATCAAGGCCAGCCTGGTGTACATGGCCAGTTCCAGGCCAGCTGAGGCTATAGGCAGACCCTGCCTCAGGACCAAAACAAAACAAAAACCAACCAACCAACCAAAAAAGTGCCCCACAAAACCCAAAAAACCCCATGCCAACCCTTCCACCCCAAAATAAGTTCAGGCTTAAGTTCAGATACCTTTACTAGTAGTGTGACCTTTGGCAAATGACAATGTGTCATAATTTTTCCCATTTTTAAAATGGGCAGGTTATCATCCTCATTACACAGGTAAAAGTAGAAAATGTTCAATTTGGTGATAAATTACAAGTTCCCAAAGTACGATTAATATTGAAAAGAGTATGCTATCCCAAAGATAATTATAAATAACAGAAATTTAAGTTAGGCACCACTGAATCTTAGTGGAATGTGTTTTTATATTACCTTTTGAGTCTACTCATGAAACATTCCAATATTTAAATGTAGTATGTAAATACAAATCAGAGCATGAAAGATTATAAAAATTTAGCAAAATGTGATAGTATATTAATTTTGCACCAACCAGAAAGGATTACATTCCTGCATGAAGGTTACTACTTGGCTGTGATAAAGTTGCTTTAGGCAAGCTATTCCTATTGTTGGCAAATAATTATTTAAAAACATTCTTCTTAAAAGTAAAACATGCATTTAGGCAGATCTCTATAAAATCAAGGCCAACCTGGTCTACATAGTGAGTTCCAGGCTAGCTGGGAACCCTCTTCTGATCTCCGTGGCACTGCACGACACGGGTGCACTCATATACATGCAAAAAAAAAAAAAAAAAAAAAAAAAAAAAAAAAAAAAAAAAGTAAAACATGGAAAACATTTATATTGTTTTCTTCTGGAAAAGCAAGTTTTGATTTTACTTCCAAGTCTTATCTCAAATAAATGCCAAGGCTTCTCTGTTCCCTGAAAGATGAATTTTTTTTAATCTAACAAGGAATCCAGAAAAAAGTGGTCTAATTCATATCACTGGCTAAAGTGAGCTTATCTGCATATTTATAATGAAGAACATGAATGAAGAACTCAACTGATGGTTGAAAATTACTTTATAATTTTTAGATTTTTAAAAAAGTTAATCTGCTTTAAATCTCCTAGAGATATATACATTGCTTTATTTTAGCATGACACTTTCGGATATCAGCATTAGTATGCTATATTTAATAACTGTATTTTAAAATGGAGCTTCAATAATCAGTAGATAAATTAGTGATACCTAAGAACAGGGTGCTTTGAACCCCAAACAATAATCTGCACCAAAAGGTATACTTGAACATACATACCTCAAATTGCTTGGATCTGTTTTCCTTGGAAGATGCACGTGCTTAAGGTCTGCTGATTGGTGCTCTTCAGATATACCGGGCTTCTGGCTTATCTTGGAGACTTCTGAAGCAAATGAGAGATCCCCTTCATTGGAGATTCCAAAGAGCTCTGGGTCATCTTGAATTACATCAATCAAGAGGACATCATCTTCATAGGCTTTAAGAATATCTGGAAACTCCACTTTGAGTTTTGAAATGCTCTTAGCCATTTTTCTACCACAAACTTCAGAGGAAATTGGCTCAAATGTTCTTTGTTCCTTAGAGCAGAAGGAACTTTGTTCAATATACCCAGGATCACAAGAAAAGGTATTTTTTTCAATTGTAAGAGAAATAGGCTCCTTATTAGAAATAATGTTGCCTGGTTCAGAGATGTGATTGCATGCTTTATTATCATAACCTTTCTTTGTAAAGCTTGGAGAAGTACAGGAATTCTTACTGTAGAATGAGTGAGAACTAGCTTGCCCTGGTGTTATACTACTATGTATGCTCAAAGACTGAGGTCCTGAAGTTGCTGTGCAGACATTTTCTTTATTCCTATTTTGTTTTTCTTCTACTCCAGATAAACTGTCAAGTAGTTCTAGGGGACTGTAAGCTTCTCTCTCTGATGACTTGGCATTTACTTCTTTTCTTTTTCCTCTCTTGTTCTTTAGTAAAGGGATTTTAAAATTAGTCAGTCGTCTTGCATTTAATATTTTAATTAAGTCTGGAGCCACAAGTGTTTGCTTAGTACCATAAGCTTTTCGATGAACAGCTTTGTTTGTAGAGTTATTTCCTTCTTGGCCCTCTTGGGAAGCCATTGTCAAATTAAGTTTTGTTAAATTCCCTCTCTTTTTCTTATTTCCTGTTACATTAGTTGACTGAGTATCTTCAGTAGTGTTAGAAACTATCTCTGATGCATTTCTGCTGGGTTCATCTGGGCTTATCCTTTTATCACCAATTACAGCTTCCTTCATAACAATCAAAATAGGTTCTACTGAAGAAACTGGAGACAAACAATTTATATCAGAATCACACTTTTCTTTACTTGACAACTCCCTGTTTTTTTCTGCTAAGGAGTTTTGTAACAATTTGGAGTCAGTTAAATAGGTCTGGTTTGTTTGGTGTTTAAGAGAATCATGTTGCCTAACATTTTCCAGAGACCCAGGATATAAGTAATTTGAGTCTGGCAAGGGAGTCTTTTTCCAACAATGGGCAGATATTCTAGCACAAGAATAAAAAGGCCAAATTCTTTTACCAGTCATTGGTATTATTCTGCGACAGCTTTCCTTTGATGCTTCAGTTTCACTTCTCAAGTCCTCCCGTGAAGATCTCTTTTCAACATGATGGCTATCACTGGGTGGTATGACTGTAGAGCTAGTTATAGACTTAAAATACTCTTCTGGCTCCATTCTTTTGTATCCTAAAGACTCTGAAGCATTCTTCATCTCTTCTTTCAAATGTGATTCAAGGTTTTTCTGAAACATAGCATTTACATGATGTTTGGGTCTTGTTGTTTTTCCTGTTGTTTCTGGGAGACATAAATGATCCACTGGAGAAAGTGTATTATGGTTCTTTCTTAAAGCCTTTAAAACATTTTTTTTTGGCTCTAAGGGCTCTACTTCTTTCCCTTCCATACCAAAATGTTTTTCCTGGAACATCAACTCAGACTTGTTACACACATTAGAGAAGTTAAACTCAATAACTTTTTCTTCATCAGACAACTTCATCTTCTTCCTGTGTTTTCGCCCAACACTGCTCTCCTCCCCTGAGTGTTTATGTTTTTCAGCTTGAAGGTAAGAAAGTAAGCCATTGTTTTTATTTTGGTACAAATGATTTTCTTCAGGCACTAACTTATTTGCTCCTATTACATTTTCTTCAGTTTCTAAGAGATTAGGAACAATATCTGTGTCACTCTTCTCTGAAAGACTCCTAAGGTTTTCTTTCTTTGACTTCAAAGAATTCTCTGCTATGTGTATACATACACTATTGGATTTATGTTCAAAGTTGTTTTCATTATTACAACTCTTGGAATGGAGGAAATTGTAATCATATGATACAGAATCGGATTTTTTTCCAACTCCAGTTGACAAGCTGTTGCAAGAATATTTTGGAGTACTCTTGTACAGTTCATCTTGGAATTCAACCTGAATATTTTGTGTTGCCTCACTTTTAGTTATTTTGAGAGGTGGGTTTTCTAAACTTTTAAATTTTTTAATTCGAATTCTTCTTTTAATACCTTCTACCAAATCTTCCTTAGTCAAAGACTGCAAGAAAGCCATATTTTGAAATTCACTGCACTCCACTGTTTGTAAAGATTCTGAATTGGATAATGGTGCCTTTCTTACCAGGTCAATCCCTGGCTGTGGTTCATCACTTGCGGCTTCATTAACTTTTCCTTTTTCGTTGGCTGATCAAAACAAGAAAATATACCAGAAAACATTTGTATGCTTGTATACAATACCAGTTGTATCTGAAAAAAGCAATACCAGTTGACAAAAAAAAAAAAGGGTGATGCCATACATTCTTATTTCCTGAAGAGTGGTTTAGAAATACACACTGATTTTTATATTAAACTTTTTTTTGAGACGGTCTCCCTGTATCCCCAACTGGTCTGGAACTTGCTATGTAGACCAGGCTGGCCTCGATCTCACAGAGATCTGCCTGCCTCTCCTTTCCCAGTACTGAGATTAAAGGTGTGCACCACCACACCCCGCTAATTTAAAAAAAAAAAAAAAAAAAAAAAAGGTTCATTGCACAGCTCCCAGCTGATCTCGAATTTGAGATTTTCCTGCTTCAGCCTCTCATCTGCTGGATTATAGGTGTGCACTACCATGCCCGGCTTAAAGATCTAATTTCTGCTAAAGAACTACAATAAACTTCTATAAATTCTATGAAAAACCCTTAGCATTTCATGCTAGTCAAACGGAACCACTAGAAATTCCTTCTACTGTAATGATGGGTTCCTCAATGGGCAAACACCTTTATTACGAAACCCTTTCCACCTTGCCTGCATTGGTAAAGACCACACAATCCAATTAAGGGTTAGTAGTAAACCAAAGACGGAGCCAGATGAGGTGCAAAGGCTGGAGGAGTGACCTCCAAGAGCTTTCTCACTATGTACTCTCGGGTTCAAAAGGAGCTCCGCCCTCCACTGCCCCCCCCCCGCCCCCGCACTCTCCAGGCCCGGAATGCCTCACCCAACATGTCACCTTCGGCCTCTTCTCTTCTAGACGTCTGGGCCACCACTCTCCTCTTCTGTCTGCTCTCCTCACGTCCCCGGGTCTCAAGGCTGCAGCTCCCCATCTCGCCTGGCTCTGGAATCAGCGGAAGGCCTCGCTTCCTCAGGCTTCGCGCTTTACCTTCGCGCTCTGGGGAGGTGGCTGGGCCTGGGGGCGGCGCTGGTGGCCGCATTGCCCACCGCTGCCCACTGCCACCCAAAACCGCCCACCCGGCCTCTCAGCGAAGCCTACCAGGCCTGGGAATGCCGCTCCTGCCGCAGGACACAGGCTACTGTCGGCCCTAGGCCTCGCCTCTCTGCTCACCGACAGCCTACTAGACCCTGCCGGAAGCGGAAGTGGAGCAGCCTGGCTGCTTGGGCTGGGAGCAACTGGCTGGGGACCTCGTGGTCTACTTGTCTGCATGCTCCCTCAGAGGGCTCCTCGCGGTGTCCTGAGGTGTCGGGATCACGTTACTCAGGTTTGTGGTGGCGCTTGGTGGGCTTCCTTCTCCCAAAAGTCTGGAACTTCTTCAAGAGTTCGGGGCGCCTTGTCGCAGCAGGCACTCCTCACACCCTGACTAACCACTCTACTGACCCCTAGTTTCCTGGGGGCCGTCGTAGCCCTCTTCCCAGTGCACGTGCCCAGCTACCCTAGAGACAACTCAAACTTACGTGGTTTCTCTTTCGCTCAAAGGTTGATCCTCTGGTGCTGGTGGATATAAGCTTCGGAATGCTCTTACGGCTTCATACATGTTCATCAAATCTGCTTGAGGCAGTTGCAGTGGTGTCCACGCCCCTGTCTCCCTGCCAGCGCCGCCAGGATCCCCCACCTCCCCAAACGTGCGACCCAGCCAATGCCAGCGTCGCTGCCATCCCAAAGGATCTGAGCACAACGGGTCGCCACCCAAGGCCCTGTGTGCAAGAGGCCACAGCAGGAACTGCTGACCCTCATGACGCCTGCTGATAAAGGAATTTCTGCCTTCCTCTGACTTCCTCAGACAAACAAACTTTCAAATGGATAGGCACCATCCATATAAAGATCTGAGGAATAAATTCTCCCTAGAGTTTCCTAACCTACCCTAAGACACACCCACAGTGAAGTTCCTCACACCACTCCAACATGGATACACAGGGTACCAGCTGCCTGGACATCCTCAAGGACAAGTGGTCTGCCCTTGTATGACGTAGGACCATCTTGTTCACTATCCAGAGACTATTAAGAGAACCCAATATTGATAGCCCTTTGAACATACATGCAGCTGAGCTCTGGAAAACCCCCACAGCTTTTAAAAGTATTTTCAAGAAACCTACTCAAAGCATGTCTCCAGTCAAGAGCCCTGACCCAAGCTGTGCAGTCTCTTTCGTGTTTTTAAATTTTTTCCTTAGATGGTTTTTCCTTGCCTTGAACTCTGTATCTTGAGCTGTGATATTATTTTTTTCTGTTTTAAAAATATATTATTTTAAAGTATATGAATATATGTATGGCCTTGTTTGTGCAATGCCAGAGGAAGTCAGAAGAGGGTGTTGGATCCCCTGGAACCCATATTACAGTTGGTTGTTAGCTGTCATCTGGGTCCTGGGAACCGAACCTGGGTCCTCTGCAAGAACAGCCAGTGCTCTTAACTGCTAAACCATCTCTCCAGCCCCTGTTTTCTGTTTTCTAAATTAAGTCTGCTTGAGCCCTTTTTGTTAGATTTAGAAGGGCAGAAAAGGAAGGAGTTTAAAGTTAAGAAATAAGAACCAGAGCCAGACCTGCAACAGACAAGGAACATGACCTTTTATTCAGAGGACACAGTGGAGGCCTTGATGCATGAAGATGGCATCTGCATCAAAGGGAGGGATGGTTTCCACTTTGGAGGAATTCTGCACACAGCTGCAAGAGTTAACTTTGTGAGGGCGTCAGATCCATTGGAACTGGATCCAGGGACAACTGTTAGCCACCATGTGGGTGCTGGGAACCGAACCTGGGTCCTCTGCAAGAACAGCCAGTGCTCTTAACTGCTAAACCATCTCTCCAGCCCCTGTTTTCTGTTTTCTAAATTAAGTCTGCTTGAGCCCTTTTTGTTAGATTTAGAAGGGCAGAAAAGGAAGGAGTTTAAAGTTAAGAAATAAGAACCAGAGCCAGACCTGCAACAGACAAGGAACATGACCTTTTATTCAGAGGACACAGTGGAGGCCTTGATGCATGAAGATGGCATCTGCATCAAAGGGAGGGATGGTTTCCACTTTGGAGGAATTCTGCACACAGCTGCAAGAGTTAACTTTGTGCCAGAGTCTAGTGTCCTTGAGGCTCTCTCCAAGATTATTTTCTCAGGTAGGCAAGCTAAAGGAGGCAGGCTGGCTCCTAAAGTCTCCCTCAATCCAGGGAGCAATCAGTTGTTAAGACTTAAGCAAGGCCAGGCTGCCAATTTAGGGTTAGTTGGGCACTTTAAAGGATTTATAGCTTTCCCTAATGAGGCTTATGACTCTTCTGCAATTCACATGTTCTATCACAATATAAAATAAATGTTGTTTAGTAAATTTTTAAAAATCTGCTTGGTTCTACTTTGTATTTGTCATTCTTCCTGCACCCCCTTTGCCATTACTGTGGCTCTAGCCTCCACACTTTGATCCACTGCATCACATTTCTAAATTTATTCATGCCTCCATTCTTAGACTAGTTCAGTCAAGCTTCACAGGTTGCCAGATTGTGCCTCTCTAGTGAAAGGATCCTAGCATCCCCCAACTCGACCCTTCCTGAATATCCTTTGCTCAAAGATTAAAACTGAGTTTAAACTTGTTCTTTTGGATCCTGCCTGATGTGGCCCATATGTGAATAGTCAGTCTCCTGCTACCACTGTTTTCAATTGAAAACTATGCATAGCAGTCCTCCTTCCAATTGTCTGTTGATGATTCTATGAGCTTTTGTTTTGTTTTTGGAGACAGGTCTCACTCTGTAACCCAAGCTGACCTAGAAGTTTAATTGATTACACAGCTTTATTGCAAAGAAGTTTCCATTTCTACTTAAATTATGTTTCCATACGCATTTTAATTCTCCTGATCCATAAATTTGTTTGTTCTTCAGACTTAACCTGTGACCTAATGTATTAGTTACTTTTTCTGTTGCTGTGATAAAACACCATGACCAAGGCAACTTATGGAAGAGTTTATTCAAGTTTACAATTCCAGAGGGTTAATGTCCATAATGGTAAGGGAAGCATGGTGGCAGAAATGGCTGGAGCAGAAAGTCAAGTGATCACATCTTCAAGCAGGCACAGGAAGCAGAGAATGACTGGAAATCTGGCAAGGTTTAAGAACTCTCAAAACTTTCCCCCAGTGATGTCCTTCCTCCAGCAAGGTCATACCTTCTAAAACCTCCCAAAGCAGCATCACCAAATGGGGACAAAATATTCAAATACTTGGAGCCTATGGGGGAGAGAGTCTCATTAAAAGCACCACAAGGGTATTGAATGTTTTGGAACTGGAGTTACTGGCGATTGTGTGCTGCCTGACCCGGAACCTGGGAACTGAACTCCACTGGTCCTCTGCGAGAGCAGTGCATGTTCTCAACCCCTGAGCCATCTGTCTAGCCCAGCTTTTTACACTCTTGAGATTACTGTTTATTGTTAGTCAGAATCACCATATAATGATGTGCTATTTTGTTTCTTCTCAGTTCTGCTTTCAGTTCATGTTGGTAGCTTGAAAATAAGTCAATAGTGGGAATATTTACACCATGAAAATAAGCAAACACTGCAAACCATGACGTTCCCTCTGGAGGCCTGGTTGCTTAGTAGCACAACATGGATAGGTGTCTTTAAATTGTCAGATAAGTCTAAACTATCTTCAGAAATTGTTGTACTATTTTACATTCCCACCAGCAATTTCAGGGATTCTTGCCAACACTTCCACTTCTGCCAGGTAAGCAGCCATATCTAATCATGGTTTTAATTTACATTTTCCTTCAGCAGTTGCTTTGTTTATTGGTGATTTGGATTTCATGTTTCTGTGAAGTACTTCAAGTCTTCTACTAATTTTTCCATTGACTTTTTTCTTTTTTAATATCTTATTTATTTTTATTTTATGAGTGTATTGCCTGCATATATGTAAATGCACCTGTGTCATGGTGCCATGCAGTGCCCATGGAGAGCAGAAGAAGGCAACAGATTCCCTGGAACTGGAGTTACAGATGGTTGTTAGCTACCAGGTGGGTGCTGAGATTCGAACCCAGGTCCTCTGCAAGAACAGTGTTCTTAACTGCTGAGCCATCTCTCTAGCCCCCACTTAGTTTTGATTTTTAACAAAAAATACCTTCACCTGGTGAGCCTGCTTAGCAAGTAAAGGTGCTTGCCAGGCCTAATGACCTGACCTTGATTCCTGGGACTCACATGGTTGAAGGTGAGAACCAACTCCCACATCTACTGTGGCACAAACATGCCACTCACAGATGTGCACTCACAGATATATGCACAAAAATAAACATAATTTAAAAATAATATCTGTAGCCTGCACTCAGTCTAGCACTTCTCACCCTTCTCTCTGTTTTAGCAGTGCGAAACTAGTTATTTGCTCTATGCAGTTTTTCACAAACTGATTTGGATGATTGAAGCCCTGTGAGGAAATTTGTCATTTCATTCTGTTTTCTGAACTTACAGAGACTTGGTCTTTATTCGGGTTCAATTGTTTTTAAGGTATTATAGGTGGCAATTGACTTGTTTTTTGCATTGGGAGGCACGTATACCCGCCTCTATGACTTACTGGCCTGTGATACTCAATGCTACATGCATTAAGTCATAGTCCCAGATACCATTTCCTTAAAAAACAAAAAACTAGGCTAAATATATTGCAAGATGATAGTCATGATGTAACATCTGAAGAACTGCCCGCCTCTATGTTACCTCTTTTCTTCTGCCAAAACTTCAGCATTCTCAAAGTCATTTCAGATAGAGAAGACACAAGCAAGCTATACTTAGAATCATGAAAATGTGGCTCAGATGTTTGAAAAATATAGTAACATTCTATACATTGAAGCTGTCAGAATATCATTGATGTTTTGTAACTTGTATAATGTGGCCATCATATGCTAGCTCTACCCGCTGATAAATAAAATGCAATTTTCCACCACAATATGCTTGACTACCCAGGTGTAAGTGGCAGGAAAACAGGTAAGGAGTTGAGGAAATGAGATAAAGAATACTTGCATAATTAATCTACGATG